GACTAGAGGGAAGGCAGCTAGTCATCACCACCCACCGCCAACTCTTGATTACTATTTTACCAACGAATAGTGGGATTGACCGTCACATTATAACGCCCCCATGGCTGAAAGGTCGAGCATGTTTGGTGTGACGGGGATTCGAACCCACGACCCTCAGATTGCGAGTCGAGCTCCCTAACCACCTGGCCATGCCGGGGCCTTAAATCTAGATAAAAAGATAGTGAAACGTTTATAACGAAACCATTGTTTGCTAGACACCTGTATTATGCCATTGTTATATTTGCTATATTTAGGTGCAAAGCTACAAAATGAACTAACTTCGTTGTGCCCATAACAAGGATCGAACCCCTAAGTTTTGGTGCTATAAACCCTCAAGATTACCGTATTTTACCTATCATTAAAGTTGTATAGTTGTTTTCGCTTGATAATAATTACTGCCCTAAAAATGATCTAACTAAAATTAATTTGATTAAATTTAATATATCGTGATAAGAATAAAAGCCTGCCACGTCACACTTAAAAAAAAAACAACAAATAACCTTACATATGCTACTGAAAGCTTGCGAAAACTTCGGTTCCAATCAATGTCACCATGGCATCGCCGTCAACATACGTAAATACACTGGAGCGATTTAGAAACGACATGAATGCTGGGATCTGGAAACACACTTAACAGTTATCGGGGTAGAAAGGGGAGGAAATAGTTTGAAGGTTTGGGTTGAAGAACCAAGATGACATGTCGTATCTAAAGTCATAAAACTCACGTCGAAAACATTGTAGATACAATAACACTATTAACACAAGTATTACACAATCAATAACATCGTGTGTGTACACGTTCAGATTTTCGTCAAGGGTTTTGTTTTCTTTCACAATAGGGCGCGAGTTGGCCGTGTGGTAAGACTCTGGATTTCAGAGTTGGCAAACTTAGTTCGAATCCGTGCAATACCACAAAGTACTTCTCGCACTTTAAGCTGTTGGTGTGTTATAAGGGTTACAGTCAATCCCTTAACGAGTATGGTGGGTGGTAGGGTGCTGCTGATTGGCTACATTTCCTATGGTCAGTAATTCTAAATTAGGGACGGCGGCAGATAGGCTTAGTAACTTTGCTATAAACACAAATTATTTCGTCATTAAATCAAAATTTAAATCCTAACAAGTTTACAGAATTACGTGAGTATTTCGAGCTTCTCGCGTGTCCAAAAATTTAAACAACGTCTCTCCTAAAATCACGATTAACTGACGAAAGAATTTTCAAAAATTTTTATTTTTCGAAAATAGTGACAATGATAATTTTAATTTTTGTTTTCTTAAAATATTTCCTAGCTTGTCTTAACTCACAAATACAAAGAATCCCATGTTATTAACCCCAGTCTTAACTCACAAATACAAAGGATCCCATGTTATTAACCCCAGTCTTAACTCACAAATACAAAGAATCCCATGTTATTAACCCCAGTCTTAACTCACAAATACAAAGGATCCCATGTTATTAACCCCAGTCTTAACTCACAAATACAAAGAATCCCATGTTATTAACCCCAGTCTTAACTCACAAATACAAAGGATCCCATGTTATTAACCCCAGTCTTAACTCACAAATACAAAGAATCCCATGTTATTAACCCCACACGTTACTCACAAATACAAAGGATCCCATGTTATTAACCCCAGTCTTAACTCACAAATACAAAGAATCCCATGTTATTAACCCCAGTCTTAACTCACAAATACAAAGGATCCCATGTTATTAACCCCAGTCTTAACTCACAAATACAAAGAATCCCATGTTATTAACCCCACACGTT